TATAATAAATGTGCTTTAAAGCAACATACACTGATCTTTATTCTTGCACCAGAATGATAGGAAGAGACAAGTATAGAGAGGGAAAGAGGACAGCTTGTGATCGGTCATACGTGGTGAAGGAAAGTAAATGTATGGCTGCAGAGGAACTGGCTCACTAGTGTTTTTTTGATGACAGAAATAGCAGGATGAACTGTGAAGTGTACAGAGTTACACTCTCTGCTCAGATTCAGACAAATGCTACAAAATTAGTTATACAGCATTTTACAGTCCAAATGGATAATGACCCAAAGCTCACTGCAAAAGCAACCTGAGACTTTCTCACAAAGAAATGAGAAATGGCCACGTCAGTCACTTGATCTTAACCCAAACAGAGTATGCTTTTCAGATATTTAATGCAAAACTGAATGCAGAAGAACCCACAAACAAGTGACGATGAGTGGCAGGGTGATTTGTGTCAGAGTGACGGCAGCAAAATAGTAGTTAGACATGCTGGGCAGAGCTGAAGATGCAGGATGGACAGAATTACAAGTCCATGAGAGAGACAGCTCAGGTTGATCAGTTTGGAGACAAAGTTAGAGAAGAGGATGACAGGGGTAGGGTAAGACTTCTCCTCCTGTTTAAAAAGGTCTCCTGGCTTTACTTTGACATCCACCTTATCTTGGATTATGCATTTTAATCCCACTCCCCATGAGGAAGTGCTTTGGCAACAGTGGGAAGGAAAAACTCCCTTTTAACAGGAAGAAAACTCATTTTGTGTTGCAGAGAGAACAATCTTTCTTGTGCTTCGTCTAAAAACACTAACACAACCTTCATAACACTTGCAACACAACAAACAGTTTCTCTGTTTTTCCAGCTGAATTCGCTCCATGACGTAATCTCTCTGTCTGACATCTCTTTAGATCCTAATTTTTAATCTTGTTTACATTTTGCTGTGATTCATTGTTCTGATGAAGTCTGTGTACAGTTGCTCTGGTTTACAGAACTGGTTTGTAGGTAATTGTAATTGTAGGTTGAGCCAATGTGTCATTTTGTTTGGAATTTTTGAACACACAAATTACAGTCCAAGCATTTAAAGCCAAGTTCACACACGCCTAAACTTAGGGTCCCGACAGCTAAACCAAAACACAAACCCAAGCATGTAGTGCAACAACACAAATTAAGACTTTACACAGAGAAACACTCAGAGATAACAGGATATAACCAGTCAAACAGTAAAACACACAGGACACATTATACAACTATGAAACAATAACAGCAACATGAACTGATAGGGACTGGAGATGATCTGCTACTTACTGGTAATATAAGGGGGACTCATTTAAAGCAACATACACTGATCTTTATGATCACTCACGCTGCTTTATAAATCTTTCATTTTTTCTCCAGTAAAAATAGCTTTGTGTATGGGGACTTCCATCTTTGAATTTTTAAAACCCTTTTGGCTTTGTAACCTGGCTTTGACTAGGATTTATTTGAGACTTCCAGAAAGATTTGATTTAAATGTAAGTATGTCTAGAAGATAAGGCAAAATGTCTGAATCTAATAAACAATGGTAACATCATTGTTCTGATGCAGCCAAAGTGATGTTTAATGTCCCTTAGCAAGGTGCACCTCGATCAGTCCAGTTTTGGTAGCCATCATTAAGCTCCTGGCATAATTCTGCTTGTATATTTGCCCAGTCTTCCTTGCATAATTGGTAGAGTTCATTGATTTGATTACTTAAAAGCTGGGACCACGCCAGGAAATCATAGCCAACAAGTTTGCAGTAGGGTTTAGGTCGGGACTTTGGGAAGATTAATCGGAAACTGGTTAGGATGATCAGAAACAATCATGCACTCAAAAAAATGAATTTGTGTGGCACAAGATTCAAACTTGTAATTTGAACTAAATAATTTCATGTTTCTATGGTGAACGTAATTAAATCATGTAGCATCTGCACGAAATTCAGCAACTTAATTTGTTCTTGTTGAGATGACATGATACAAGTAGTTGTTCAAACAACAAGATTTCATTGTGTTTTCCTAAAGTTTTTCACTTGTGTAGAATGAATTAAAACAAATTTCACTTTACATACTTCAATAAATCACTTCAAGTCATTTAGTATTATGGATGTTTGGGGACCAGGATCATTCAGCTTCAACTATTTGGACCAATTTTCCAGAAACTCTTGGAATTCCTCTCACATGAAACATTCAACAGGACACTGTCCTTGGTACTGAAATTGGAAAATCTATTAAATCTGTCCAGAAGTGCTAAAAGATGAGAGCCTAAACAATTTCTCAGATGGAGTCAAAAACTCAATGTAAACAACTCTAACCGAACAAAACAGGGATCTGTCAGCGCATTACAGTGCAATGCCAAAGTGTACAACTTATCAACACATCTTTAAATCTGTCATCAGATCAAAACAAGAGGGTTCAGTCTCTGTCTCTCCCTCTCTCTCACACACACACACACACACTAAATCTGCTGTTGGGGAGCTACTGTATAAGATTCCCAGTGCCAGATACTGCCGGGTGAACACGCAGAATAACACGCAGACTTTGAAAGTGTGGAATGCCAGCTATGACACATGTGCACACATGCACACTTGGCTTCATGCTGAAAACCCAAACACCTCATAATGACAGATGTTGCACCCTGGGGTGCTGCTGGGGGGTGAGGGGGATCATCTGTTTTCAGACACCGTTCCAAAACGCATGCGAAGAAATGAAAAAAAGCACAGAAAATCTTAAAGGTTTCATCTGTGAAAGGAGGCACGATTGTATCGCGGCATCTCAAAAAGAATCGCGAGACAACAGCAAGAAAAGAGCTCATGTCTGATGCTTGACGTAAAAACAGAAATACACAGTTTTGGAGTGAAGAAAAGGTTTATTATTACTGCTATAAGGCACTTTTGCTCTTTGACAAATGAAATGTTTGACATACAGCAGCTTTCAGGATTGTACCAGATGTTTTCAGAGAGTACTAGCTCTGTTTGTTTTACACTCTATGGAAAAAAAGTGAAAATGAGCTGACTTTATCTTTTCTGAAGGTAACACTTAAAGAAGCTCCAGAATCTGGTTGGTCGCTATTGTCTGAAATACCTCCAAACAACATATATAACATGACAGAAGCACAGATATTCTTGTCAAACCACAAAACAAAATAATTTACTAATACTTGAAGAAAAAACTGCTTAGAAATTATGAACATAATTGACATTTGTAGTGTTTCTCAGTCTATGTAAAGCACCTTTAACATTCAGCACCACTTAACAGATTAGGAAACTCAAAGTCACATGAGGGCGTTTTGTGCGTACACCAGCATCTTAACTGACAAGTTTGCCCACTCACTGCATTTAGGTACAAAACAACAACACTGTATTAAGACATTTGATTTTCTTTCCAGAAAAACAAACAGAAGTTAGACATCCAAGGAAACAACAAAATAAAATCCAAGAAAATGGACTCTTCTATACCCAGAAAAAAGTTGACACAAGTAGAGGATGTATGATATACATATATATGGTTGTAGGGCATGGTCTTTGGCATATGACACACGTGCAAATGCAGCGTAATGCTAGTCTAATGGTCCACTAATCCTCCCTCTTCTTCCATGTTGCTTTGATGCGGATCAGCTGGGAAGAGAAAGAAATTGTTTCCTGCCAGTGGCTCAGGGTTAGATGAGCCTTATGGTGAATGCATGGAGCCCATGCTCCTGAAAACAGAGCAGGGAGCCTGGGAACAAAAAAAACAAAAACAAAGATGTTTGCAGGGCCTCTGAGCCTGGAGACGCAGCAAAGTCCCAGCAGCCAGTCAATATAACGAACTGTACTGTCAATAGCTGCTTGTGAAATATGTAAAGTGAAACAATGGCAGCTTCTTCAGAAGCATTTATATGATACAGATGAGATGATACCCACGAGAATAACGTTGGGGAGCATGCTCAGAAAAGCCCAGTGATCTCCTCCGTGACCGGGTCAAGGTCAATGTCGTAGAAACAGGGTCGTGTGGGCAGGCCAGGCATTGTGCTCATCTGAGGGAAAACACATCAGAGAAGAACTTTAACCCATATTTGAACTATTATAAATCTAATTTTGATCTATTTAATTTTAATTATGTCAATCATTTACTGTAATCATGTATCAAATAAAGAGTTTGATGAGAAGTCACCAAAAAAAATGCATATATGGAAATATCAGACCACAGAATTAAGAGAATAATAACACTGCTAATCAAATGCTAGAGGTGGATTTATAAGCTACTGAATTAATGGATGTACTTAAAATCCTTTTTATGTGACAATCCACGTTTGCTAGAAATCAAAAAGGTGCTCAGATGACATTAAACTCATCAACAAACAATAGAATTTGGAAAGAAAAAAAAGAATATGTCTGGTGTCTACTATTATCCTAATCTAGTCGAATTTCAAGAAAGCTTTTAATGAGTGGACATATCCGAGGAAGCACACGCAGCTGGTACAGATCTTCTCATGAAACTGTCAGTGGCCACAAAAATCAGATAAGAAGGTAAAATTACAATCTATATAATGACCTCACATTAAGGCCGTCACCACAACACAGCTGCTCTACACCAAAACACCATCTGCCAACATTTAGCATCACAACTTGTGTAAATTAGACAGAATAGGGTCATTCCACACAAGCTCGATAACTGTAATCTAGACTTAATTTAACTCAAGGTTAGCGGTGATGAATACGCCCGCAGAAAATGGCAGCTTTGTTTTTACTGTTGTCAAAATATAAACGAAAAGAGGTCCTGCAGGTACGAGACAGTTAATAAGCGCTATGTGAAGTCAGAGAGAATCACAGTTTTGATTTGGGCATTAAGAAGCTCAACTGAGATATATTTTAGAGTTTTAAAAATAGAAAAACATAAACGGAAAAATGTTTAGAGGGCCTTGTAATTATTTTACATTAAAAGGTTTTGATCCATCACATCTGCCAGAAAGACTTCGTGTTTAAGTTTCTGAATGACAATGAGTCAACAGAGGAACCGTCCTGTTAATCCTGATCATTTCTACAGTGCAACGAGAAAGCTTGTGTCAGTTACAGAGCATCACGTGGAAGTACATTGAGACTGACTCTAGAAGAAGAAAAGAAACGTAAGAGGCTGGAAATGCTGCCAAAAGAAATTTGACATTATCATGGTTCACGAGATGATGACATCAAGCTATCTAAGCAACTAATTAAAAGTTATTTAGTCAGGTCTGGGTCTCTGTTACATAGTCGGGGGGGAGAAGGGCATGTTTTGCACAGTTCAATGGATCAAAGACTCCTATGTGACTCATAAACTCCTTTTACTCTCTCAAAACCCAGCCGGTTCATCCCGTCCAGACTCAAAAGTAAATTATCTTGCTCATTAGACAGACAGCGACATTCCTTGCATACCTCCCTTCTTCTGACCCAGGAGCAGTTTTATGGACCCACAAGTGGGAATTAAACAGGAGGAAGTGGGCAGTGAGCTTCCTGTCTGAGGAAATGTGGCTCTGCATACTTGCAGAAGCACAAAACAAGGAGAACGTGCTTTCGCAATCTCACAGAGCGGATAACAATTCCTCAAATATGACTGCTGTGACATGGGCGTGTCCTTTAAAGTCCACCGTCAATGCTTACATCCCAAATGAATCCAACTAAGAGGTCCCAATGCTCCTTCAGTTGCCAAAATGAAACAGAGAGGGACCATTAACAGATAAAATAAGGTCAAAGTTCTTTAAAAATCCAATAACATGATCAGTGTAGCCGTTCTCCAACATATTAATAAAAGTTCTCTGTCCATGCATCCACGAGAAGCAGGATCTACAAGGCTAAGAGGAGTTGGTCAGGTAGTTTGTGGCGTTCCCACTTTTGGTCAGGGAGCAGGTGCTGCCCCAAATGAGGGAGTTGAACTATCTTGAGGGGAGAGTGAAGACTGACAATGGTTTGGTGTGGCGTCCGAAGGACACTGCACCAACGAATTGCGTTTGAGAGAGAGTGAAGCGTAGAAGAAAAGATGTCACTCTACCAATCAATCTACATTTATACCCTCACCTTTGGCCACAAGTTCTGGGTAGTAATGGAAAAAAGAAGATTACAGATAGAAGTGGTGGAAATGCAGCTTCCTTTGAAGGGTGGCCGGGGTCAGCTTTAAAGCTAGGATGAGGATTGGATTGGTTCACCAGTTGAGGTGAATGTTCTGGGAAAGACCCAGGAAAAACTGGAGAAATTACACTGAGGGAACCCCTTGGTGTCCCCTGGATGAGTTGGAGGAGGTGGCTAGGGAGAAGGAAGGCTAGGCTTCTCTAGTTAGACTTTAATCCTGGCAACTGGGCCTTGGATAAGCAGCATAAAACTGATGGATGGACAAAAAACGTACACCACTGCTATGCTACTGAGTTATGGTTAGGCTAATTAAAATACATGATCGTTCTCAATTAAATGACATGTTGGTGGTCTCTTTGCTGCCTGATTTGGATTATTGAAAAAGTTGTACAGGACTTGAATGACAATTAAATATTTTTCAGGGGTGGAGTGCGGGGGGACTTTCACTTTAACTGCAGCATTTACTGCTCCAGTCACTTCATGCCTTTCTGTTTATACCACCTCCTTTGCTTTGCTTCTAGCGCTACCAATATCTAATCTAATAAAGGAAAAGCTCCGCAAAAATCATCATGCGATATCAAAAAAATATTTTTCTGTCTACATTCCTTGCCTACATTCCTCACCAATTTGGATAATAGTTCTGGAAATCCCCCCTCCCCCTAAAAAAAATAATAATAATTTGGGTTATTGTTGGATGTTTTGATTATAACTATGTAGACTGATGAGTAGAGTTAATTGGCTAAAGAAGGAATGTTTCTCTCTGTGAACAAACATAATAGATAACAAATACTTTATTTATCCCAAAAGATTGGAATTATTGTGTTATAGCAGCCAAAACATGAAAATAACTTGTAATAACATTAATATAACATAAAAATATAAAAATGTTAAAATCTAATAGGACACACTAAGAAGCTTAAATCTAAAGGGAATGCAGGTAGTGTGACATATGTGAAACATCTGTCCTTACAATCATAAGAAAACATTTTGAAATACTTAATGATTGGATAAATGTGCACTTTTTTTGCAGCCACAGAACATAGACGGCTTGCACTCACTGATTCAGCCTTTAACTCCTCTGTATAGAGAAGTATTGTAGGGTCAAATGTGAGGCAGCCCTCACATTTGGGTCAAACTGGGTCATGCAGCAGGACAATGATCCCAAGAACAGCAGCAAGTCTACAACAGAAGGGCTGACAAAGAAAAGGTGCTGCAGTGACCAAGACAAAGTCCAGAGCTCAACCTGACTGAAACAATGTGACAGAACCTCAGGAGAGCTGTGCATGACAGATATCTGCAAACCTCAATCAACTGAAGCAATGTTGTAAAGAAGAGTTGGCCAAAATTCTCCACAATGACATGAGAGACTGATCAAATTATACTGAACGGCTGAGCTGAAACAGAGACAGTGTTCACTCACTATGTGTTAATAGACCTCTCTGCATTGAATCATATCTGGTATTAATCTCTGTCTCTCTTCCACAGCATGTCTTTATCCAGTCTTCCTTCTCTCACCCCAACCAGTCGCAGCAGATGGCCAGGCCCCTCCCTGATCCTGGTTCTGCTGGAGGTTTCTTCCTGTTAAAAGGGAGTTTTTCCTTCCCACTGTATGCATTATTGTAGCGTCTACCTTACAATATAAAGCGCTTTGAGGCGACTGTTGTTGTGATTTCGAACTGTATAAAATTTTTTTAATTTAACTGAATTGAATTCGGTAAGTATTCTGCACACACATTTAATTAATATTTTTTATCAGGTATGAAAAACAGAACAAACATTTGTGATGTCAAATATGTACCTTGAGGCATCGATTGCACATCTGATACTGAAATTACCATATTTCCGCACTATGAGGTGCACTTAAAATCCTTTAATTTTCTCAAAAATCGTCAGTTCCCCTTATAATCTGGTGCCCCTTATGTATGAATTCTGGTTGTGCTTACTGACCTCGAACTAATTTTATGTGCTACACGGCGCTCAAACATCTGTCAAAAATGTTTTAGTACGACTTCGTAAGCTACGAAGCCGCACCGCTTGATGGATTTTTGGAGCATTATGGCTACTGTAGTCAGGAGCCTCGCTGAGTAATCTGGGTCCAAAACCCCATCCTCTTCAGGTCCCAAATTCAAACTTACACTGCAGCATCACTGAAAGTTAAACACTGTCAAAATTCTTTCAACTTTGATAAAATGATCAGCATTGCTGCTTTATTTAACATTATTAACATTATTTAACATCCAGGCATCCACGAAAACAGAATTTATTAAATTTAACGGAGTTAGCCGTTAGCAGGAAGTTAGCTCGCTAGTTTCCACCTAAAACATGATATAGCATGTTCTGAGTGAGAGATTTCTGAAAAAATTAAAATGTACAGCTCTGCTATCACTTCCAACGTAAATGAAGACAGAAAACTAAACAGCAGTGACTTTTATAGGGTTACTGAAATTGGACTAGCTGGTATATAATGATGTACTATGTGATTGCTACCGACACCGCTATGTTAGCATAACATAAACACAGTGAAGCTGGAGGATGAACGCTAACTTTTTTCCACTGATAAAAGTTAACGTGAGGGTTCGCATGGCAGGATGCTGTAAACGGACCAAACTTCAGTCAGGAGAACAACTGAGATAATCCATCCACAATATGAGGTTAGTCATATACTGCAACAACATGGGAATAGAGAGAATTCAAAATTAATGAATTAATGTTACAGAAGTGGAGGAAACAAGAAGAATGAGTTGAGCAAATTTTAATTTATCTGTCTGTTTTGTTTCGCTTAATGCGCCTTATAATCCGGTTCGCCTTATGTATGAAAACAGACCCGTTTGTCGACAGTGCGCCTTATAATCCAGCGCCTTGTGGTCCAAAAAATACGGTAGGCTTTAAAAAAACCCTCTAAACTTTATAGAAATGTGTGTGCCTACATTAAATACACTAATTATAAGGCTTATCATTGATGAATCTCACTTTAGCCATGGATCTCTGCATTAACCAGAACAAGAAGCCATGTTTTGGAAAATCGTTTTGTTTCATATTCAAATATTAAATTATTTTTCCTGCCCTAGCTAGCGTGCATGCTCCTCATGTCATAACAATCAGCTGATAAATAATGAACAGAAGCATCCGATTAAGGGCTTCCATTCAGAAAAAACAGACATATGACATGTGGTTAGAAATCGTTACGGGGGAAAACTCTGTCCCTACAACTCTAGACTGCTTTTGTGATGACTTCTGTGTACAAATGCAAATGTTTTCCATTCCTGTAATAGAAAGCAAAGCTGCAAGGAATAAATTCATCCCCTTGTTCTGCAACAAAATCCCAGTTTCACTTTATTTACTTGAATGAAAGACTACAAAATGTCAGCTCACAGGAGGAGGCAAATCAAACCTTATTTAAAAATATCAATTCCGATTCACAAGTAAAAGGTCCTTTCACTTTTCTCGTCCTTGAATGAAATATTGGGCAGCACATTTAAATATAAAAAGGTAATAAAAAGTGTATGAAAACCTTTCAAAGTGATGAAAGCAACAAAAGATGTGCTGTTCTGCCAGTCCTCCTCTCAAGCCTGAGAACAAGTTGGCACTCGCAAAAACACATAACACTCCGTGGCTAAAGTTGGAAAGCCCATTCAGGCAAATAAGTCCCTTCATTATGCCCAAACACAATGTGCCTTTGTTGGGGAAAGCCCTGGAGGAGACAATGTAGCTGGTTTTTTACCCCCCACTGGTTTTGGAGAAGCGTCTCGGTCAACAAGCAGCAGAGTTTGAAAAAGTACTGAGAAGACTATGAAATCTAAAAGACCAAAAAACACTTGTGTCAATTTAAAATTAAATAAGTGAAGTCCATAACAGTAAATCTTTAAAAGTCACACAGATTCTCCACAGTTTATTTGGTTATTGAGTAATAGGGTTTTTATTAAAGCTGTTTTCATTTTAAGATTTATGGTTCATCTGTGTCTGATAGAAATCAATGGATAAAATGTGAAGAACAGATGAGATTTAACAAGTTTTAGATAGGGCTGTGCGATATGACCAAAATCTCATATCCCGATATAAGAATTCTATCGTCCCGATAACGATATAAATCACAAAACTGTAACATTTTCTGTAAATTCTGTGAATCTCGGGCAGCTCGACTTGCGGGAAGTGTTTCCAGCTGCGCATCATGTACCTGGAGTCGAGTGTTTTAACCGATGCATGAAACTATAAGTCTAAGGTTTATTTTTTGACACCTGGCGGCCCTTTTTTTTTTTTTTTTAACTTCTCATCCGTAAATAATCTGCTCTTTCACGTGATTCAGTTTATCTTGAAAAGTCTCAACAGGATCTTGAGCTTTATTGTGAAAGGTTTACGTGGAACATAAACAAGCGGACACGCGATGGTGTTACCATCGTTGTTGCTAACGACAACGCATAAAAACAGGCGCTTGTCCGTCTGTAGTTTGGTTATATTAAATAAAGGAGAAAGAGAGAACTTTAAGAAATTAATATAGCCACTACAGTGACCATCAAAACAATGAAAAAATATTGCTGTAAACAGTTTATTTTGCAACACCATGAAACAAACAGTGTAAAATGAAACGATAAACGTTTTTATATCGTCGTCCGATATATATCGTTATATCGAACAGCCCTAGTTTTAGATCTAGTCTGAACTCTTAACCGTGCACTTTGGACTTCTTACGTTTTTTTACGGACTACGGTGCATCCTGTTTGGGGCTAAAAAACAGTATCACTGATTGTCAATGAATGACAAATCCTGTACAGGTTTTTTGTAAATGTGTGTGCACTTGCAGGTTTTTATTGTTTCATGCCAAACTTTTTAAACTTTTAATCTTTAATTTTGAATCTTCTTCTGTGATGTACTTCAGGCTGCGTGCTTGCATAGATAAATAAAGCCAAGCTTGTAAATTGTCCTTCGTTTTGCCAAAGGTGTTCCATTGTTTGTGAACCTTTGTACATTTACTGCTTATTTGTGGTGTGTATGGTGTATTCATTCTAATGCTACATGTATACTACCATAGACGCATCTGTTCATGTATGTTTGCTGCCTTGATGATGAAGAACTGATTAATGCGTTTAATGACGCTGTGCAACTTGATCAATCTCTGCCTCGTGTCTAATCTAACTTTAGTAAAGCTGCAGTTGAGGCACAGGTCAATTACCAGATAAATACATTTACTGGACCTGTTGGCCGGCAGGTCATTAAGATAACAGAGTTATCCAAAATTAATGAAAACTGAAACAGACAGCTGTTTTTTGCCATCACTGGACAAGAAAATCCATAATAATCTTTCAGCACAAGTTAAGTGGTCTGAGAGGGAATCCTGTGCCATTACTGGGCTTTTTAAAATAGAAACTCTACACTAAGATTGGAGCCAATCACAGGTTTTCTCAGGTGAGTTCAGTTAAGTTCTACGAAGTAGCAAGAAGAGCAAAAAATTCCAGATCGGAAGTAAGATGGTGTGGTGTGATTAAACAGAAGACTTTAACCTGGGAAAACAGGGTTCGATTCACAGGTGCAGCATGTATGAAGCACGTGTAGTAGGGATGTGGGCGACAAGTCAGCTGAATGCTAGATGCTGCAATTCCACCGTCCACTATCCAAGAATCCAGCCTGGACAGAAGGCTGCCCCCACCCCGAATGTTTAAGCCTGACTGTGGTCAGTTCTGGATGTTCTCCATCTTTTAAAGTAGTCTGGTCTTTTCTTCTTCCTGTTTAAACAACTAGTAAATTAGTCACCAGGAACATCCTAGTGTGTATCTAAGAAGCTGCTTTCGGTTGATACCTTATTCACATGGGGTTGCCGCAGCAAGAGGCTCCAGGTATTTGAGTTGGCAGATATTTTCTTTAAATGCCAGATGCCTTTGCTGACCAAACCTTAATAGGATTTGTGGCTCCTTCCAGCATCGACCTGGGGATCTTTTGCTTGTTAGGTGAATGCATAGACCACTACAACTACTGCTTATGGGTGGGGCTTAGAAGAGAAAGGGGGGCACTGCAGGAGATCGACTCGTATTGCATGCTGCAGCTTTAGGGCTAACTGCTATATCTGTTGCCTTTCTTAGAATTGATAAGAAATCTTTAATCATCAACCATCTTTAAAGTTTAACCAGAGAATATTCAGCCAAGGAGGGCGTTTCTATAAACCTGACTGGTTTAGGGTGTAATGATTCAGTGAAAGCAATTCTAACGGGATATGAATTCCAAAGACATCTATTGTTCCGCTTGCAACTCCTCCCATACATATCTGGAGAATCACATCAGTGCCTTCCTGACTCTTCACCCTGCAGACCCCTAACCTACCCATCGATCTAAAACCCCGCCATCCTCCTTCTTATTATCTTGACTGAGAGCTTTTCACCTCTTTCTGTGAAGGGAGAATTGAGTTCTTAGCTGTAATCAGAGCTAAGGCATCGGAAGTCCCCTGACAGTTCTATCGAAGAAATTATCTCATGGAGGTTTCTTGACTTTTTTCTTAGTAAAGCCATTTTAAACAAAATAGCACAATTTTAACTGTGCCAGAGCAACAGGTGCTAACATGAAAATCATGCAGCGATTAGAAATGGTGTAATCTTTAAACTATTAAAAGTTTCAGTCTTGGGTCAGTGTGTCAAGCAGAAGCTAAGCCAACGAGTTCAGAGGACAAACAAAGAACTTCCTTTGGGTTAGAAGTCATAGTTCAAGAGATGTCAGTGTGCCAGTGGCTCCATAGGCAGCAGCACATCAAAGGCAGGTTGTGGAAAGTGGAGAGATGCCACAACCCTACAAGATGCCTTTCCAAGCATGGCCAGCGTCTCACACCTCTGGCCCAGCCTTTCAAAGCCAGGCCCTGAGGGCACACTGGTGAAACAGCGGGAGCCAAAGCACTCAGGAAGCCGCTTCCTTCCTGCCTGCCCAGCCCATCATCAAGCAAAAGGCTCCAGCCAGCCTTGTTTGCTCTAAGTAGGACTACATGGCTCAGGGAAAGCAACAGAGAGGACCAAAATCACACACACTCTCCGGGAACGAACTCGAGGGAGGAAGGAATTAACATTGACAGATGAATTAGCACATTCAAGGAACAATAATCCTACACACCCACCGAACCCTTGAAGATCAGAATGAGCTTCAAGGGTTGGAGAATGGAGATATTAAGCTTTGGCAAGGTTAAGGAACGGTGTCATGTTAACAAAATTAAATTGAACATTCTTCAAGAAAGAAGCAGCTGCACAGGCAAACGTGTAGGCACGAGAAACAAGAAAACACTTGTGGTGTGATTTCTGTGCAGACGTCTGCTTTACAGCCTACATAAAGCTGGTCCAAGTTTTCTCTGTAAATAACACCAAATGCACTTTCTTATCACCTCTGTGCAGTATTGTGAAGCCAATCACTTTCAAAAAGCTCTGTGACTTCGCGCTATGAGGCATGGACCAAGACGTCAACGTTAACCTGCTGCAGACCACGTACCGTTCCCACTAATGGGTAGATGAAGCCAGCTCCGATGCTGGCACGGACATCTCTGATTGGCAAAACAAATCCAGTGGGTGCCCCCTTCTTGTCGGGCATGTGGGACAGGGACAGATGGGTCTTGGCCATGCAGATGGGCAATGAACCATAACCCTGGTAAAAGGCAAAACAGAAATAGTCATTGTGTGACCTTGTCACAGAGGAAAGAGAAATGAGATGAGTCAGTTACTGCAGCGGCAGTGAGCTCACTTGTTGATGGTAATAATCTGTCTTGGTCTTGGCCTCTGGAGACAGCTCGATGTCATCGGCCCCGTACACTCTCTGGGCTATTGTTCTGATCTTCTCCACGATCGACATCTATCGGAAGGACAGCGCATCAAACGCAGGTGAACACACAACAGCTCTACACTCAAAGGGAAGTGAGGAAATTAGATTTGGTGAAGTGAACACATATCAGCGTGACATCAGAATCAAACACAGTTCAGCAAAATGAATTAAATATTTAAACTTTGAGCTCTTATCAGACATGTGATAGCTAAGAAAGCTGCCTTTATTCCTCTGTTAAAGTGACTTTATTCGGATTTTCTGCCCATTTGACTGAAGCCAAGTACACAATGTCATTTGCTTTTAGATCTTGATCAAGCCTGTCTCCATTTCAGGGGTATTTAGACAACAATCAATGATGGACTCATGTATTTGCAATTCTACTTTCTTTTAATGTGACAAAAGACTTCTGACAAACTGAAAGGGATGCACAAATATTACTTCTGACCTGGAAGACTGATGGCCTAATTTCTAATGCAAAACTGCCCGAGGTGTGGTTTGTAAACAAAGCCGACACATTCAGGTGTCATTAGATTAAAAAAAGAACGTTATATCTGATTTTCACTTGACACTACAAACCTTTGTTTTTCCTTTTTGGTCAAAAACATGTAATAACAGCGGATTTGAGCACTATGGCATCAACAGCTTATTAATGAGAAACATATAAAAACCATTTATAAACACATCTTTGACTTCTTTCTTCATCTCCTAAACTGCAGCTTGTCGCAGAATATCTCGTCACTAATATATTCAGAATTTCAGCATCTTCGCTATGAGACACCATCACCTGCCAGGTGTATCGAGGTGCAGTTCTTCTGTATCATCCATCCGAGCTGCTAACTTGGAACTTTAGCAGGTATGGGATATTCTCACACTACCTTCTCTTCTGGCAAACATCCAAGCCTGAGGTTTTCTGTCTGACCTTCCCTCTAACTCGTATAGCAAATGGAATAATCAAAAGATTGAACACCTTATTATACAGCAGTTAAGGTTTGATTTATTAATTTAATATCCAATAAATCCTGTTGTTGAGAGCGCTTGCATGCAGGCACATGCTTACTGCTAATGGAGCCATGCACAAAGACACAAACAGCATAACAAGGTCAGTTAATTTAAGTCACAACCTCCTAGACTCGCTAACTCAAACCAGCTGATGTTTTTTTACTTCAACCTACTCTAGCTCCCAAAATCAACATAATTTACTAATTATCCAACACTGAAACAGTAGGAACAGGGATACCGCCTATTGTAGAGCAATAACTAAATAAAATAACTAAATAAAATTTCCACTACATTATCTGCACTCACCTCTGTGTTGTAGAGAAACTGGTAGTCGCTGGGTTTGCTGGCAGCCTCCTTCACAGCCTGGGCGAGCTCCGAGCAGCCTCTTCCACCCTGCGCCCAGTGGTTGCACGGCAAAGCGTCGGATGCGCCACACTCTTTCGCTATCTGACATACAAGGTCGATCTCTGCCTGGGTGTCTGTCCTAAAAGATCCGAGGAAAAAAGCACCATTAGCAGCGCGAAGCTGGCGTTTATATAAAATACAAATTAATCACAATTAGTAGCTTTACTTGCAGTTAGCTATTTTTAAAAAAATATAGCTGTAATATACAACTTACTTGAAGACATTAACAGCAACCACGACTGGTACCCCAAACAGATGTGCAATCTGGATCTGCTTCCTGAGATTGCTACGGCAGCCGCCAGCAACCAGGCTCAGGTTCTAGAGGTGGAAGAGAAAGAGGAAAGAGAGCAGAGGTAACAAACTGTTATTAAAAAACAAAACACATCTAACCCATAAAATGTGCCACAACTTGAACCAAAACATATTATAAATGTAATAGACGAGCTACACGTCCTGTAGCTTCATAACATCTGCGCTGCACAGTTTCTTACAAGGTGGATGTGTTCATTTGGCTTCTTTAACAGAATAAACAATACACAGGGCTGTGTTATATTATCCCGCCCACGATTACACCGGTATATTATGCAATATAAAAATGTCACATTGTGTCACATCTTTTCTACACGAGTTTAAGTTCAGGGGATGCCCAAGAGCTGCACATCAGTTACTTTAACATTCCCCAACAACCTGCAAATTATGCAAGAAAACGGTTCCTGTTAAAGGTGAAATCACGGCGTGAGGGAGGAGATACTATCATCTGTGACCTAAATGTAAGCAAAATACTCCACCAAGCATCGTTGGAGCACTTCCAAGTTGCACTCCATGAGGGGGGAAGATGGTAGATGGAATTTATTGATTCAGCTACATGGTGGAAAACCAGAGCTTTCAGCAGGTGGTTAAAAACCTGTTACACTTATATCGTGATAGAATTTCAAGGCCATATCCCTCACTCCGAGTATTATATAAGTCAGAAATAAGTACTTAAATGGTTTGCAGAAATCTTACATGCTAATTGTGTCCTGTGGATCTTTGTTCTATAAAAACACTCAGCCCCCGCCAAAAAGAAATTCCTGTCTTACTTAATACTGAAATTATTCTGTGTCATAATAAAAATACAAAAAAACCCTAAAAGATAACAAATGAGATGGAGAAAGTTTTCCTGCATCTTCAGCTCACCAGTGGAAAAAATGCTAAAGATTCTTGTGTAACTGATAAGCAGTTTACAGAGATATGATTTAAAGGGCATGACAGGAAATCTGTGATTCTAGTGGGAGTTTCATTTAAATACATTAATGTCCTATTCACCATTTTGTATAAGTTGTTCAGGCTGATATAAAATGTCTCGTTACTAACACTTGTGTGCTTTGCATGTGATTGCATCATTATACTTGATCCGGTGATGTGTGCAGCAATTCAATAGCTCATATTGAACCGCATGCTACTACGTGCACACTGTAGTAGCTTCACGATAAGCTCCTATGCGACCAAAGTAATCTAATCTAGCACTATTTGTGTGTAGCCACAGGCTAAGAAGAGTAAGGCCATACAGGTCCCATAAATTCATTTCCTGAGCTCTGCTTTCCTCAGTACTTCTGGTTCTTATTACAGGCTTTACAGTTAACCTTAATTAACTGCTTCATTATTTACTCAGCTGAACCTGCCTGAGAGACCTCTGATTTTGGCCAGATACAGCCGCACATGCACGCACACACGCACACACACACACACGCACACACACACACGCACACACACACACACACACACACACGCACACACACCAAAAGAATCCCGACTCCACTTTTGCTTAAGTCTACATAGTAGAAACCAACGGCAAATGTTCTCTTAATACATCAAATGCTTCTAATCACGGTTGTTGGCAGCAGATTTATGCAGGTAGATGGAGATTTAAATGTCAGTGGGAATGCAGCTGAAAATAAATTTCCCCCAGGGATTAATAAAGTATTCTGATTCTGATTCTGAAAGCTTGAGGTGGACTGGTTCAGTACAATCTCCAAGACCCTTTATTGCATCACATAAACATCTTATAAATGCTGTCAAATGACGTCTCCCTTCCATGATTTTTCTGGTTAATATTACACATGTTTGACACAGAGGAGAGACCAAGTATACATTAATACAAAGATGATGCACTGCTCTGTAAGTAGCCCTAATGTGTACAGTAAGCCCATTAGGAGCCAGGTCACAAAACAGCTGCATGAAGAGGAAGTGGGATCACCACCCACGGTCATGCTTCACTGCCATGGTAGTTTACTCAAAACACAGCACCAAGCACATCACCAAATAGAGTTATGTTAATGAGTGTAAATAGCCTTAATTCTCCTGAAAACATCCTGAACTTTCAGACTAAATACAATAAGGACAGATACAGATAACTATTTTATCCTAATTACAAGTGATGCCACGGGCCAATAATTACCTCCCATCCCCCATTATTTTACCACTCTGCCTTTTTCTTTAACTCTCTTGTAACTCAATGCATTTAGGCATGTAGATGTGGTCAAGACGAGCTGCTGGCAGCATTAGAATGGGAAAGAAAGGTACTTTAAGTGACTTTGGATGTGGGTGCATGTTTGAGTATTTCAGAAACTGCTAATCTACTGGGACTTTTCCCACACAACCATCTCCAGGATTTGCTGGTTGGGAAAAAGAGAAAATATCCAGTAGGCAGCAATTCTCTGGGTGAAAATATCTTATTGATATCAGAGGTCAGAGGAGAATGGCCAGACTGCTTCGAACTAATGGGAAAGTAATATAAACTCAAATTACCACTCGTTATAATTAAAGAACGCAGAAAAATGCACAACATGTTGAAACATTGAAGCAGATGAGTTAAAGCAGCAGAAAATTACACTGGTTGCCACTCGTGCCAGCTAAGAACAGGAAAAGTAAGCTAAAATTGCACAGGGTCACCAAAATCGAACGACAGAAAGTTGGAAAAAAGCCTTGTCTGGTCTTGTCTGAGCCTCGAATTTTGCTGCCACATTCAGACTGCTGCGTCAGGATTTGGTGGGCACAACATAAAAGCATGGATCCCTCGTGCCTTGTGTCAAATGTTTAGGCTGGTGGTGATATATTTTCTTGGCAGAATTCGGACCTCTTATTGCCGACCATGCCTATCTCTTTAAGACTACAGTGTACCCATCTTCTCGTGGCTGCTTCCAGCAGGATAACGCATGATCGTGTCAACATGGACCAAAACCTCTGAGGAATATTTCCAGTAATTGTTAAATCTGTGCCACAAAGAATTAAGGCGGTTCTGAAGGCAAACGGGTTCCAACCCAGTACTAGCAAAGCATATACCTAACAAAGTGTTTGGTGAGTGTATATTTATGTTTGCTCATGCATATTTTTCATGGTTCCTACCTCATCGGTATACTCTCGGGGAAGCGGTGCACCTGCAGATACCTAAAACCGTACAAACAGACCAACAAATTAGACACTTCAGCATCACAGGTTTTGTCCATATGGGAGATAAACAAGAAATCAACCCTTCTAATTCTTAATATTTTCACTAGCAAGTCTATAAACACAGTTATTAATTTGGAAGATTAATTTCAGCAAACAGGATGAAGACTAATGAATACCAAGAAACTGAGATAACCCTATGAGATAGTCAGCTCATTAAATTCAATTGAGTTACAGCTCAGCACAGGATCGCAGGGCCTTTCATGACCATTAAGAGCATTTTACTATTGGAGTTTGTCAATCACAAGCTGCGCTAGATTTTCAGAGACATTTAAGTGAGTGGTTCTTTAATTCATCCACACCAGAGAAGAATTTATGGCTAGGCTATACTGTGTTATTACAACAGCGCTGTGTTGACCTACATTTGGGCCGCCGCCGTGCATCTTTAGCGCTCGAACGGTTGCGACCAGCACCACCACACTGGGCCTCAAACCTGAGGCTCGACATTTGATGTTGAAGAATTTCTCCATCCCAATGTCAGCTCCGAAACCTGCCTCGGTCACTGTGAGGAAACAGGCACAAAACGCATAAACATGTCTACCAGTGAATTATTGAATTACATATTAAAATTTATGGTCAGCAAATAAAGAATGTGAGCAGACTGCGATTCAGCCGTGTTAGAAGCTGGAGCAGCGGCGCTGGACACAGGCATTAAAGTATCATCTTGCTTGAAATAACTCATCTTCCACCTTCAAGCCATGTTTGACCCAATTTGACCTCACAGCACCACATGTGAGCTCGATTACACGCCTGGAAGAGACATGGGAAGGGTTTCTGAACAGTAGTACTGAGTAATGGGTACATTGTAGGGGCTCTGAAAAAGACAGAGGGCCTCTGATACAGACAGCTCTACGCACAGGCCTCTTGAACAGGCTCCAAACAAAGCAAATACCCCACCTGAAATGGCAGCCTTTGTCAAGATAAGGTTTCCTGCTACATGCTGGCTAGTTTTACACATTTTACAGTAAAACTAAAGTTTATTTCCCATCAAAAGTGTTTAGGCAGGTTTTAATCACCTTGGGCTGTTTGTTTAGTCTGCTCAGATGCCATTATTCTTCCCTTTCGGTACTTGAAAGGGAAGAATTCACTGCAAGCTTCCAAGTCTGTTTCCTTGTGATCTCTGAAGCTTTTGGTTTGTGCTAAAGATGGGTCATGATGAATCATCACAGTTTGCAGGATAGACTGCACAATGCGCTGAAAGTCGACTACATTATTACTGCAAATATTTTAGCTTTTATTCAAGAGGACAGTGCAGTGTGTGTGCAGGAAGAAAGGGAGAAAGTGAGGGAGGAATGACATGCAAGAGATGATTTAGAGTGGCCTTCAGTCACCAGGCTCGACCAGGTGAGCTATAGTGGCATTGCCCCAACACTTTTACTGGTACTAGTAAAGACTAACGGCTTTGCTGTTTGGTTAAATGCTTTGCCTTTGTTCCAACACATATTTTACGAGAAATCTTCCAGTAAAACATTTAATCTAAATCTAAAATCCAAACAGAATAAATGCACCGTATCGTGCATGGAGTCCAGTTTGTAGTTTAACGCTTCAGGAACTCTTTGTGACCACGAGAAGAGAGATTAAGCCTTCAAATGCAGCATGATTTTCTGTCAGTCAAATTAATAAAGTTTGTTTTGAATGTCTCCCACGGGTCCCGATAATATAGAGGACTTTGTCAATGTGACATAATGTTAACAAGTTGTGGTCCATTAGTAGCAGCTGGCCCTCGCAATATTAGTGTAAAATGTTTTTTTTTCTTTAAAAGGAACCAGTCTAAACCAGCTGATCTCAGAAAACATTTATCAAAGTAGTGATAATTTAAGTATTATTAAAGGATAAAAAAAAAAACATGTCAGTGATTAAAGCAAGGAAAAACTCTAATTAAGCCCAAAAGTAAATTTTTACAAATTTAAGACTGATGAAAATCACAAAACACAGAAAACTCAGTCAGAAAACCCCCACAGAATTTAGCTGAAATATAATCTTTAAATGGTACTGGAATCTACAAGGAGTACTGTCCCATGACAACCAAATATTACTAAGGAACAAAGACCAAGGCGCAGATTTGTTTTAACAGCCAAGGGTAATTATCCATATTACAGTTTTGTTATTCTAATAAAAAAAACAACTAACTTTTGTAATTGCCGAACCAACTGGGTGGGCAGGTCAGGACATTATTGACTAAAAACAATCACAGGGTTTAAGAGCCAAAAAAGGGATTGTTGTGAGAGAAAAGGTCACCAGATGACCAAATATAGGGCAAATCGCTCACTATGGGTATTCACGAAAAATAACATTAACAGGAGGAGTTTGCTGTTATTTTCCCATTTTTGGGGGAGGTTTTTTGGAGTTAACATTTTTTTAATTAATTTATTTTTTTTAAAGAACCAATACACAACCCATAAACTTAAATCATCTACAGACCCCGCTTCCCCTCTTGCTCAAACTGACCCATCCTGGATAACCTCTTTCTTCCAGTGGTGTAACATCTGTGCTCGTCAACTGCTAACCTTATTGACAGTTAATTTGATTAAAACTATTAAAAAAAAAAAAAAAAAAAAAAAAACCCAAATGGGACTCAGATGGGAAAAACAAATAAAATGTTTGTGTCATTCTGATCAGTTTTACGTCTCATAAAAGTTTTTGTGCGTAGGACCCTGTGCGCAGACTTGAGCTCCACAGAGACGGGCTTTGACCAGTTCCACTTCTGAACGTAGACAGTAATGACGAAGAGATGGGTTTACAAATTGAAAAGGGAACAAGGGGAGGGGGGCTTGGATCTATTTCCACTTGGAGGGAAGCGTCACTGCAAATCAAATCTGAGCGGTCTCCTTCATTCTAAGATAAATCATTCCCATCCTGATGAGAGCTGTCTCCGCCAAGAGGAGTCACTGAAGTGAAGTGAATCATAAGCTATGACCTTCAACGCCTCTTTCCATCGCCGTTATTAAAAAACTAAATGATGGAATAACTTTTGGAAGATTTGAACTTTTGGAAGGCTTTTATAATTACATAAAAAAATAAATCAGGCTTTTGTACATTCTACATTTATTACATGTAATGTCTAATATGTCAAGTCGTTTTCTTGGTTCAACTTTGAAGACTTAAAGTTTATGACAGCAAAATAATGAATCCTCACTAAATTTTATGAGCTAAACTGTGTTTAATCCAAAAAGAAATTTGCTGAAAACATTTATTCAATTTCTCTCTTAAATCCACGTCTTTTGTTGCAGTTGAAGGTGACATTTGATGAATAATAATAATAAATAATAATAATAATGGATTGGATTTATATAGCGCTTTTCAAGGCACCCAAAGCGCTTTACAATACCACTATTCATTCACTCTCACATTCACACACTGGTGGAGGAAGCTACAGTTGTAGCCACAGCTGCCCTGGGGCAGACTGACAGAAGCGAGGCTGCCATATCGCGCCATCGGCCCCTCTGGCCAACACCAGTAGGCAAGTAGGGTAAAGTGTCTTGCCCAAGGACACAACGACCAGGACAGAGAGCCCAGGGATCGAACCGGCGACCTTCCGGTTACAGATGCGATTCCCAACCCCCTGAGCCACGGTCAATCTCTCTGAGGCTTTAGAGAAAAAACAAGTGTTTGCGAGAAGAAGTGCATCACTCTGCTTTGTTTGTCTTCGTTTAATGCTAGTCACGGTGTGATTTATTTCACGAGACGCGAGCGTAAATTTACTTCAAGGAGGGAAGGCGAGAGGAGGAGAGAAAGAAGATAGAAATACGTGAGAAATGAAATTAAATCAGAAAGTTGAGAAAGTCTTTTGGAGAGCAGAAGAACTAAGTCTAACAGGACTTAGTTTCTTGGAATATCAACAACAACATTTAGCAGAAACTGTGACTTGGGGGGCCTTGGCTGCATCGCCTGCATCTTGAAAAGTCTATCTGCTCAAAGAGGAAAAAAAATAAAGTCTGCGGGAGGACTGCAAAAATGTAACTCGGCTTTCTTTTGGCCAAATAGCGCTCAGTGCAATGTTTCTCATTAGCACCACACTAGAGCTTTGGCTCTGAATACAAAAACAGCTTGCCAACAAAAATCTGATTCTTAGGTACAGTATTTGTGGATTTCCAGAAACTTTATGACAAAAAGCGAGCACAAGAGTACTCACACGACACAACGCAGCATATTGAGAGGTGAAAGAAAAAAAACAGAAAAGACAGTTTCCCCTCGATGGCATTGCATCAAGCGGGAAAGTGAACCCGGAGGATGTCCTAAGGAAACACTTGCAAGCTTCCTGTTCTGTATGACAACCCTGAACTGCCCAGAGACCGAGAGGGAAGGAAGAGGTCGATGATGTTGTGAGCAGAGTCAGAGAGAAAGAGAGAGAAAGATCGGGATGGTGGAACTAGATGTCAAAGCATTGGTATCAGCACAGCTGCCAATAAAAACACAAACACTGCAGAGCAGGCTGCACGACCATCTATGTGCTGTTAGTTTTCCACAATAAGAGACTTAAAAGTAAAAAGTACTACTACTTTAATCAAATGTCAGAACACATGCCTGTCATTATTTGCCTTAAGGCTCTTTAATTTAACTTCTTTAATTTTTGTGTAATGAACAAACAAACTGAGAAAAGCTAAATCAGCTAATCCTATAACATTTCTAACTAAATGTTCAAGCGATCATAAAGAAATGTGATTTATCTCTCATCCATCTGCATTTGCTCAAAAGGTGGTGTACACCCTGGACTATTGGCCAGTGGTCTATTTGCTGGGTGACAACCATTCATGCTCACATTACCTCCTAGAGCAGCGGTCCCCAAGCCCCGGGCCACGGAACGGACTGGTTGTGAGAGTTGAGGCTCAGGTGTGAAATTTATGATTTTCAGGGTTTTTAAAATCGGTTTTTATCGTTAACTCTGTTTGCCTGGGCCTTTTCCCGTGTGTTACGAATAAATCTTCCTTTTTTTTGGTACTGGTTTTATTTTGTTGTATTTTTCCGCAACACCTTAAACGCCGGTCCGTGAAAATATTGTCGGAGATAAACCAGCATACATAAACCAAAAGGTTCGGGACCGCTGTCCTAGAGCCAATTTAGAATCAAATTCTATAATGTAACCGAGTTTTCTTTTAAATTTAATTCACATAATTGTTCAAACATAATTTTCAAGCAACTGTTTGTCTATGTAGGTGATAAAAAAAAACACTCCAACATGACTGCAAAACTTTTTTTTTCACGTTTTCTAATGTGATCTTTTAAACCTTATAATAAATAAGTGTCGCGGGGTTATCTGCGTTCAGGACTCCAGACGGTTAATGGTACAAGAGACGCACACATCTGTCATGTGGAATTCATCTCCCGACAGCCGCCCCTCCCCGCAAAAGCAGCATTTCTTCATGTTAAGTCCAGATTCCAGAGTGACTTGAAAAACACCACAATAATATTAAGAATGATGAAGCAGGGCTATGAGTGAGCATTAGTGCCGGACCCCCCCGGAGTTCACAAAGAGTTCATGGCACAACAACAACTTTCACTCAC